GGGGGGGGGGGGGGGGGGGGGGGGGGGGGGGGGGGGGGGGGGGGGGGGGGGGGGGGGGGGGGGGGGGGGGGGGGGGGGGGGGGGGGGGGGGGGGGGAAGTAGTAAGTGATCTTGTTCTGCGTCATCATTATCATATTTCCGGGTTTTGACAAATTGGCTAATTTTGACTGTGGAACTCTGTAGTTTTTTCAATGGAGGGGTTTTTTTGTAGGTATTTGGTTTAAATTTTGGGCTATTATATATTCCCCAGTTCTCCCTTTGTGCAAGTATTTGATCTTTCTTTTTTGGTCTGAGTATAATGGGTGCCCCCCCCCTTGGGGACCAATGAACCCATTCAAAAGCCTGCACTGTCAGGGCTACAACCTCAATATCCTTAGGGGACAAATGGACATGCAAAATTGGGTTTGCAGACTGTGTACCAAGAGTTATAAGTGGTATATAAATTTTTTTTTCCCATCTTTGATATCTCTATGCTAAATGTTTTATAACATATACAAGTTAAGACCAAAAAAACACCAAAATAGTGAATTTTGCCTGTCATAATCAGACAAATAATTGCAAAGTACCAAGGAGCAACCCCTGAAATAGACCACGCCCACAGACGATTCGTAGAGCCGGGTGACACTACCCCCATACAACTGCCTCCCAACTGCCAAAAAAATGCTCAGAAGGGGTTTTTTAAGTATTATGCATACCACAAAACGCCCACAAACACCAAGACACTCGTTTTATGTGTGAGGAGTGTGAAGTCCCCTCGCATATACCCAGTTTCAAGATTTCCACAAGCTGCAGCGTTTAGGAACGTGGTTGTGACTGTACATTGTATAATATTATGGAAAAATAGTATAAACATTTTTTTTTGTATTGTTTTTTTGTGTAAACAAAGTGTATACAAAAACTAATAGTGAAAAGGTTTGTTCTGTTATTGGTTTAAATATAGGTATATTTGAACAATGCACCTTACATTGGTCTCACAGCCACAAAAAACCCTGGAAAAGAAAAATTTGAAAAATGCAAAAAACCCCTTTAAATTTAAGTAAAAAAAAATACCGGGGGGGGCAGTCGCCGCTGTTGCCGTCGCACTAAATTTCTGCAAACTTTTTTCCCCATATCTCGGTAAGTACTGATGCAAAAATTTTTTTTTAGGCTTAAAACACTAAAAAAGTATTCCTACATTTTCAAAGAAAAAAAAATTTTTTTTTTTTTCGAATATTTGGCGACTAGAAGACATTTTTCAAAAGAGGGGCCTGAAACGTCAAAGGGGTTTAAAACAACAGGTGACATTACACATCCCTGTCAAGCCCTACTTTTACCGGAAGTCCTCACTATCCTCAAAAAACTTTTTAAAACCATTTAATAACTTACCACCTATTCAATACATAAGACCCCGCTTTGGGGCATTTCCCTTACGGCGCCCCCGCTAATAGGCAATGTCAAATTTTACCAGAATTTTTTATACGGCAAGCGGGCTTTCAAACGGACCCCCCACCCTTTGTTTTCATTTTCCTGACCTCATCTATTTGAGGAAACTTTTAAAATTTCAAGTGTTTTAAAGTTACTGCATATTTTATTGACTCTGATAATTATATTTAATGACCTTTCTTTAAAAACTTACAAAGGCGGTGTGAGGTTTCACATTAAAAACGCTAAGTCTCTCTCTTTAGAGCCCCAAAACTACTAAAAAACCACCTTTTTACACACTAAATGTCTTATTTTCATCATAAGCAATTTTTCATTTTAAACCACTTATATTTTTTCCCCAAAATTATATAGAAACCCCCTTACAAGATATAAACATGAAAATACACCGCAGAAAAAAAATTAAAATAAATAGAGATTTTCTTTCCCAACAGGGGTAGGTATGTCGGGAAAAATTACGTTTCTCTATCAAAATGGGGGGGGTAACTGTAAAAAATATTCTTTTTTTTAGCCTTTACTCTATTATATACAAATTTAGGACCCTTTTGGGGTTTTGTGCTTTTTTTTTTAAAAAATAATAAAAATATTATTTTTTTATTAATATTATTATTATTATTTATAATAATAATAAAATTATTATTATTTTAAAATTATTATCTTCATTCCTCAAAAAATGGGGTGTTTGCTGTTTGTTTTTTTCTGAAATAATTGACACAATGTAAGAGTATTTGTATTGTGAGGAATTTTCTATTATAAAAAAAAAATTTCAGGTAAATGTTTTTCAAACTCTTTTCAAATACGTGAATGAACTAAAATAACACATATTAATACGCATTATTTTGCTGACCAAGTGATCGTCCTCTACCCGTTCATTTTGTTCTTCATTGCTCAACTATATCTCGTTTCTCTCCGTTTACTCTTTTGTTAACTAGTTGGTCTCATTGACGATGGCTCCCAAGGTTAGCTGTATAAAAAGAGAATTGTAACCCCCCTTTAAGGCCAAGTTAGAGGATGAGGGGGCCCTTTTGATTTATTTTAAAAAACACCCTGCCACCACCTCTCACACATTAATATTAAATTTTAAAGGTAAGTAATAAGTGACTCTGTTTTATCTACCTTTTTTGTTTTTTTAATGCCCATTTCTATTTCAACTTAATAAATTAGTGTAAACTTGTGTCTGGCATTTTTTGCAATTTTTATCCTGAAATCTTTTGGGCTTTGGTACCGGGGGGAGGGACAACATTACGTTTTCTTGCTCAGCCATCAGAGAAAACGTATGAAACTGCTTTGGCCCAGCCACTCCCCCTCCGTTTGTTTTCAATTTTCGCATGAATTTTTCATTACTTCTACCTTCGTTATATGGGATCTAAAAAGGGAGTTTTAGAAAAATTAAATTCATGAACAAGGGATGTCAATGTTTAAAAAATGGCTCTGGCCACAGGAGATACCCATATGTAGCCCAGGCAGGGTACCCACCCCTACCTACATGACTTCCTACAAATGAAACTATTTACCTCTCTTTCCCATAAAGACACACATAATTTTAAGAAATAATGAGTGCCCATATGTGTTTTTACCCTCTGGGGTTTTAAAATTGATATTAATATGAAACAGGAGCCGGGCATCTGCAAACCCGACTTCTACAAATAATGCTCTCACCTCTCTCCCTACATTAAGATTTCAAATACTTAAAGATAAGTAATGAATTTACTGTGAATGTATTTTACTTTGTGTGTTTTTAATGCCTGGTTCTATTACTAACTTAATATAATTTAGTGTATACTTGTTGTCTGGCATTTATATGCATTTATAAATGGAAAAAAAGGGTGTTCTGCCTTCTGGCGATGTCTGCTTTCCGGCTACAGCCTGGAACCTAACCTGCTGTATAAGTGGGGCCCTACTGTACTTGCAACATCTGCCACATTGCTCCCCTATCCACTCTGTCATATGCCTTTTCTAAATCCATAAATGCAATAAAAACTTCCCTACCTTTATCTAAATACTGTTCACATATATGCTTCAATGTAAACACTTCATCTACACATCCCCTACCCACTCTAAAGCCTCCTTGCTCATCCGCAATCCTACATTCTGTCTTACCTCATTCTTTCAATAATAACCCTACCGTACACTTTTCCTGGTATACTCAGTAAACTTTTTTTTTTTTTCAACAAACCAGCCGTATCCCAACAAGGCAGGGTGGCTTAAAATAAAAACAAAAGTTTCTCTTTTTAAATTTAGTAATTTATACAGGAGAAGGGGTTACTAACTCCTTGCTCCCGGCATTTTAGTTGCCTCTTACAACACGCATGTCTTATGGAGGAAGAATTCTGTTCCACTTCCTCATGGAGATAAGAGGAAATAAACAAGAACAAGAACTAGAAAGAAAATAGAAGAAAACCCAGAGGTGTGTGTACATATATGCTTGTACATATATGTGTAGTGTGACCTAAAGTGTAAGTAGAAGTAGCAAGACTTGCCTGAAATCTTGCATGTTTATGAGACAGACAAAAGACACCAGCAATCCTTCCATCATGTAAAACAATTACAGGCTTTCTTTTTACACACACTTGGCAGGACGTTAATACCTCCCTGGGCGGTTAACATTTCTGTCATTTAACATTTCTGTCATGATCCCGTCAGTTTCAGCTGGTTTACCCCCTTTCATTCTGCGTAATGCCTCATGCACCTCCCCCACACTGACATCCTGCTCTTCTTCACTCCTACAAGATGGTACACCTCCCTGGCCAGTGCATGAAATTACCGCCTCCCTTTCTTTGTTGACATTTAAAAGTTCCTCAAGATATTCTCGCCATCTACTCAATACCTCCATCTCCCCATCTACTAACTCCCCTACTCTATTTTTAACTGACCTATCCATTCATTCCCTAGGCTTTCTTAATTTGTTTAACTCGCTCCAAAGTTTTTTCTTATTTTCATTAAAATTTCTTGGCAGTGCCTCTCCCACTCTATCATCTGCTCTCCTTTTGCACTCTCTCACCACTCTCTTCACCTTTCTTTTACTCTCCATATACTCTGCTCTTCGTATAACACTTCTGCTTTGTAAAAATCTCTCATATATTTTTATTTATATATTATTTATTTATTTATATATTTATTTATTTATATATTTATTTATTTATTTTATTTTATCAGATATGAATATCAGCAGTTTTAATGGCACATCTGCAATTGTCCTTTTGGTAGCTGGTTACTCATCAAGTATCATGTTCATTAGTTGAACTTGACATTAGTAATTTAATGCAGTATTCAGGTAAATGTTTAATGGTTAATGAAGTAGAATATTTTGGTTCAGTTAACTCATTCCTCAGTATCTCAGTCAGCTTTGAAATTCAGTAACTGTATCATTGTCAGAGAATAGGCTAATAAGTATATTTTATGCCAGTCATTTTTTTAAAGTAGAAACATCATCCTGTAACTGGGCAATGCTATACAGTACGATGAATTTCGTATCATGATTTTTTATGACGTTACATGGCTAGCATAAATTTATTTATGTATACATTTTCACATAATTGAGTTTCATGTACTAAGAATTTTTGGTTTGTTCTTATTTGCAGATGAGTCTGGAGTTCCTTTTGGGCCCCCTTTAGCCTTTGATTATAGACCTTATGTCATCAATTGGTGCCTTAATCTCAAGGTTCTCGATGGTTACAAGGTCACACCAAAAGAGAGGTGGGTTTAAACTGTGAAGTGCATCTTGGAATGCATTGCTTCATTCAGTACAGGATGAGTGTTAATATGCACCACAAAAAAAAAAAATGAAAGGGCTAACTGAGTGGTAAGATCTCTGACTACTAGTTTACATAACTTTAAAATTAAAGTAGTATTTAAATCAGCTGGTCTTTGTTACTTGCAAAGACACCATAAACAATATAAATGTTTCCTTTTTTCTTCTTTCAACAAACCGGCCGTATCCCATTGAAACAGGGTGGCCCAAAAAGAAAAACTAAAGCTTCTCATTTTAACTTGAGTAATGTATACAGGAGGGGTTACTAGCCCCTTGCTCCCAGCATTTTAGCCACCTCTTACGACACGCATGGGTTTTGAAGGAAGAATTCTATTCCACTTCCCCATGGAGATAACAGAAAATAAACAAGAACAAGAACTAGTAAAAAAAATAGAACAAAATCCAGAGGGGTGTGTTTGAAAAAAAAAAAATATATATATATATATATATATCTAATATATATAATATATATAGATATAATATATATAATTATATATATATATATATAATATATATATAATATATATAATATAATATATATATATATAAATATATATATATATATATATATAATATATATATATATATATATATATAAATATATATATATATATATATATTAAATATATATATATATAAATATATAATATATATAAAATATATATATAATAATATATATTTCTTTCTTTCAACACACCGGCCGTATCCCACCGAGGCGGGGTGGCCCAAAAGGAAAAACGAAAGTTTCTCCTTTTAAATTTAGTAATATATACAGGAGAAGAGGTTACTAGCCCCTTGCTCCCGGCATTTTAGTCGCCTCTTACAACACGCATGGCTTACGGAGGAAGAATTCTGTTCCACTTCCCCATGGAGATAAGAGAAATAAACAAGAATAAGAACTAGAAAGAAAATAGAAGAAAACCCAGAGGGGTGTGTATTTTATTGCTTGTACATGTATGTGTAGTGTGACCTAAGTGTAAGTAGAAGTAGCAAGACGTACCTGAAATCTTGCATGTTCATGAGACAGAAAAAAGGACACCAGCAATCCTACCATCATGCAAAACAGTTACAGTTTTTGTTTCACAGTCATCTGGCAGACGTAAATACTTCCTGGGTGGTTGTCTGTCTACCAACCTACTACTTTAAAAATATATATAATATATAATATATATAATATATATTTTTCAACAAGTCGGTCGTCTCCCACCGAGGCAGGGTGACCCAAAAAAAAAGAAAGAAAATCCCCAAAAAGAAAATACTTTCATCATCATTCAACACTTTCACCACACTCACACATTATCACTGCTTTTGCAGAGGTGCTCAGAATATAACAGTTTAGAAGCATATACGTATAGAGATACACAACATATCCCTCCAAACTGCCAATATCCCAAACCCCTCCTTTAAAGTGCAGGCATTGTACTTCCCATTTCCAGGACTCAAGTCCGACTATATGAAAATAACCGGTTTCCCCTGAATCCCTTCACTAAATATTACCCTGCTCACACTCCAACAGATCGTCAGGTCGCAAGTATCATTCGTCTCCATTCACTCCTATCTAACACGCTCACGCACGCTTGCTGAAGTCCAACCCCCTCACCCAAAAAAACCTTTTTTAAACCCCCTCTTCCAACCCTTTCGAGGACGACCCCTACCCCTTTTTTCCCTTTCCCCTATAGATTTATATGCTTTCCATGTCATTCTACTTTGATCCATTCTCTCTAAATGACCAAACCACCTCAACAACCCCTCTTCTGCCCTCTGACTAATGCTTTTATTAACTCCACACCTTCTCCTAATTTCCACACTCCAAAATTTTCTGCATAATATTTACACCACAAAAATTGCCCTTAGACAGACATCTCCACTGCCTCCAACCGTCTCCTCGCTGCTGCTTTTTACCACCCAAGCTTCACATCCATATAAAGATGTTGGTAGTACTATACTTTCATACATTCCCCTTCTTTGCCTCCATAAAATAACGTTTTTTGACTCCACATATACCTCAACGCACCACTCACCTTTTTTCCCTCATCAATCTATGATTAACCTCATCCTTCATAAATCCATCCGCTGACACGTCAACTCCCAAGTATCTGAAAACATTCACTTCTTCCATACTCCCCCTCCCCAATTTGATATCCAATTTTCTTTATCTAAATCATTTGATACCCCCAAACACCTTACTCTTTTCTATGTTCACTTTCAACTTTCTACCTTTACACACATTCTCAAACTCATCCACAACCTTTGCAATTTTCTTTAGAAACTCCCATAAGCACAGTATCATCAGCAAAAAGTAAAATGTGTCAATTCCCTTTAAATTTGATTCCCCATAATTTAATCCCACCCCCCTCCCGAACACCCTAGCATTTAAATTCTTTTACAACCCCATCTATAAATATATTAAACAACCATGGTGACATTACACATCCCTGTCTAAGACCAAATTTTACTGGGAAGTATTCTCCCTCTCTTCTACACACCCTAACCTGAGCCTCACTATCCTCATAAAAGCTCTTTACAGCATTTAGTAACTTACCACCTATTCCATAAACTTGCAACATCTGCCACATTGCTCCTCTATCCACTCTATCATATGCCTTTTTCAAAATCCAAAAATGCAATAAAAACTTCCCTGCCTTTATCTAAATACTGTTCACATATATGCTTCAATGTAAACATTGATCTACACATCCCCTACCCCACTCTGAAACCTCCTTGCTCGTCCGCAATTCTACTTTCTGTTTTACCTCTAATTCTTCAATTATAACCCTACCGTATACTTTTCCTGGTATACTCAGTAAACTTATTCCTCTATAATTTTTACAATCTCTTTTGTCCCCTTTCCCTTTATAATAAAGGGATATACATGCTCTCCCGCCAATCCCTAGGTACCTTCCCCTCTTTCATACATTTATTAAACAAAAGTTACCAACCACTCCAACACTATATCCCCCCCTGTTTTTTAAACATTTCTGTCATGATCCCATCAGTTCCAGCTGCTTTACCCCCTTTCATTCTACGTAATGCCTCACGTACCTCCACCACACTTACATTCTGCTCTTCTTCACTCCTAAAAAATGGTATACCTCCCTGGCCAGTGCATGAAATTACCGCCTCCCTTTCTTCCTTAACATTTAAAAGTTCCTCAAAATATTCTCGCCATCTACCTAATACCTCCCTCTCCCCATCTACTAACTCCCCTACTCTGTTTTTAACTGACAAATCCATACTTTCCCTAGGCTTGTATATGTGTAATGTCACCATGGTTCAACATATTTAGAGATGGGGTTGTAAAAGAAGTAAATGCTAGGGTGTTGGGGAAAGGGGTGGGATAAAATTATGGGGAATCAAATATAAAATGAGAGTTGACATACGGTGGACACCCCGCTATACGAACTCATCACGTTACGTTAACTCCGCCATACGAAGCATTTGAACGCAAAAAATTTGCCTCGCCTTACACGATTCGTCCGGGACACGTCCCACATGTGGCCTCAGCGCCAGTGTTTACAAGCCAGCCAGTGTGGTCGCATCTACGCATACATTTGGTACATTTCACATTATCCCAGTGTTTTTAGTGCTTGTAACTGCAAAATAAGTCACCATGGACCCCAAGAAAGCTTCTAGTGCCATCTCTGTGGTAAACAGGGTGAGAATTAGTTTGGAATTAAAGAAGAGATTAAGGAAATGTGTGTAAAGTGGGTTGAACTGCAAACCTTTACGGGTGAAAATCACCCTGACACAGCTACTGCAAGCTGTCTTGGCAACCTGTACAGTGACAATGTTATGGCCCATTTTAGGAAAGTCGTAAAAGAACGGGAGGTACAGAGCTCTATAGACAGATTTGTTGTGCGACAGAGGTCCAGTGACTCTTAAGCCTGTCCTAGTGGCATTAAAAGAAGAAGGGAAGTAACCCCGGAAAAGGACTTGCTACCTCAAATCTTAATGGAAGGGGGTTCCCCTTCTAAACAATAACTTCCACACACTCCCCTCCTCCCATCCCATCAATCATCACCAAATGTTCAATAAAGGTAAGTGTCATGAATTCTGTTCTTAGTAGAGTAGTAATTGTGCATGTCTTCTTCAGTTTGTGTGTATTAAAATTAATATTTCATATGGTAAAAAAGTTTTTTTTCATACTTTAGGTTGCCAGGAACGGATTAATTTGATTTCCATTATTTCTCATGGGGAAAATTAATTCAGCTAACGATAATTTCGGCTTACGTTGAGCTCTCAGGAACGGATTAATATCGTAAGGCGGGGGTCCACTGTAGTTACTTTTTGCTGATGATACTGTGCTTTTGGGAGATTCTTAAGAAAAGTTGCAAAGGTTAGTGGATGAGTTTGAGAGTGTGTGTAAAGGTAGAAAGTTGAAAGTGAACATAGATAAGCGTAAGGTGATGAGGGTGTCAAACGATTTAGATAAAGAAAAATTGGATATCACATTGGAGGGAGGGAGGGAGTAGGGTAGAAGTGGATGTGTTCAAATATTCAGGAGTTAACTTGTCAGCTAATGGGTTTATGAAGGATGAGGTTAACCATAGAATTGATGAAGGAGAAAAGGTGAGTGGTGCTTTGAGGTACGTATCTGTAGAGATGGAAAAATGTTATCCATGGAGGCAAAGAAGGGAATGTATGAGAGAATAGTGGTACCAACACTTATGTGGGTGTGAAGGATGGGTTGTAAATTGCTGCAGCAAGGAGGAGGCTGGAGACAATGGAGATGTCCTGTCTAAGGGCAGTATGTTTACCTGGAGACCTGGAGAGAGTTTCGGGGGTCAACGCCCCCGCGGCCCGGTCTGTGACCAGGTGGTGTAAATATTATGCAGAGGATTCATAGTGTGAAAATTAGGGGAAGATGTGGAGTTACTAAAAGTATTAGAGGGCTGAGGAGAGGTTGTTGAGGTAGTTTGGTCATTTAGAGAGGATGGAACTAAGA